GATAAGTGTAATCGAACCACTTTGTATCCGATCGTTCGGGGGTCCATTTGAATGCAAACAAATGATTCAGGCTGCATGAACCCAAATGATAGTTCTGGACCAATGTGTTGTTAGTAGTTCGATATGAGGAAAGTCAAATGCGATAGTCGAATTTCTCGGCCTTGCTAGGAGACATGGGCCCTCTTGTTGCATTTCCGTTACACACCGTTCCGTTATGCAGATTTACCGATGCATTTGTGTGATGTCACCATTGCATTTATCGTACTGGCAACGTTTTATGTCTATTCATGAAGAATGAAATTTATCGTCTACAAGGATAGATGCCAATGCTGTCATTGTTAGGGTTGGTCCTTACCATCAAAAATGGTTGGGGGGGGGGGGGGGGCCCAAGTTCAGGAAGGGGATTTCACTCTGTGCCCAGAGTTGCTCGGCATTGAGCAAAGAACGGATTGACGATCGCGATCGAGTGATTGAGCTGGGGTTAAACCTTCACGATTATTGCCTATCCATCCTTTCAGAGTTGAGGCAGGAAGGACTGTCATGACACCTGAAAAATGCCACCTACGGTTCCTGCACATTCAGTCATACATCCCCATGTGTTTTGAATTGGGTGATACATTTGGTAAACGGTCATGGTGTGTTGAAATGGGCTGCTGCATTTGATTACCGTGTCAAATATGCTATTCTTCAAAGTCCAGCATCCAGCAAGCATGTTTGATATACCTGACGACCTGACGTCCTGATGCGATGTCTTAAACTTGCGAGTATTGCATTCTTTACAAAAGTTCATAATCCCTAGTCTCTGCAGGCTTGAATGAATAAGGCCTCGTCCACATCAGAAAGTTTTTTTGCATAGACGATGATATAATGTTGCAAAATGAACAATTTTGAAATAAACCTTTCAAAGACGTCCGCAGCACGAAATATTTCTTTGGGATGACCTGCAAAGAAAAATTGAATTGATGTGGACGAGGCCTGAGAGTGTTACCTTTAAAAATAAAAGAATTTCATTTTTTTCCCAATTTGTCTTTCTCAAGAATTTCAAATTTTCATATATTATTCTATCATATATTATTGGTACACTCTAGTGATGCTTATTGATGTGACGGGAATGCAACTCGAGACTGAATAGGTCCACTGGAGCAGAGGCCAGCACGGGCTCTCCGATGCGGAGTGATGATTTCAAATCAGCTCATGTGTGAAGTGAATCATTTGTTCGCATTTGAATGATCTTTTAAACCGAACATTGAGACATATATATACAGGCATTTAATTTTCAAATGAGTTCTCAGAACGTGTTTCTGACACGTTCCTGTCACATCCGACGCAGTCATAAAGTAACCCTGATTTCTTTACCTAGTGCTGTAAATATGGGATGACGCACACAATTTTCTAAATTTCATTTCACCTACAGAATGAACACAATACTAAATTGATGGGTTCCCCCATATCACATAAATGTTACCATTAGAGCAAGTGACTTTAACCTTAGGTTACATGAAATGTCGCGTCCGACGCTTTTTTTCACTCAGTTTCACCTCTAGCAAAGAGAACATGCAAGACTGACTAATGGAATTTTCAACAATTAGTCTATGGCTAATTGTTGCGTTTTTTCTATGCTGATTCGTCTTTTTTTCGCACTGTTGAATACATTGTGCGTATCAAATAGACTATTATATCTTCAGATATCACCTCCGACACATTGGACAGGCTCTTAGGTCATATTCAGCCATGTCTTGAACCCCGAGGGCAACGTTTCAGCGAGGTATTTGGATCATATTCTTTCAATTTCTTTGGAGTTACGTTTCTGTTTCTATTTTGTTACAATTGTGTTTCTTTTATTTATTAGCCTTCAGGAGAGATTGTAAACATTAGTGAGAATCTCCCCTCAGAACTCAGAGCGGGTTCATTCAGCACCCAATCGCACCAGAAGGATCCCATGGACAGAATCTGTAGAGGTTAGAACACAAGGAACTCATAATGAACCAAAGACAAGAGAAATGTAATTAACACTGGGAGGATAGCCTAAGCACGCAGTAATATTCTTTGAGGGAGACACCCTCTTTGCTTCTGTCGCCGTCAAGTCCCCTCTAATATCAACAGTGCAGCCTGACACGTTCTTTATCTGCTATTCCCATAGAGACCATTAGAGATATGCCAATGTTGCGATTTGTTTGTCCCTGTTAATATGTATTTCTTCTTTTTTTTTCTCATCACATTTGCTCACAGTTGCCATAGAAGCCTGGGTGCTCGACCTGGGTCGAGGTGTTACGTCCTTGACCAGAACTGCTTTCCAGCCTTCGTATTTGACGGATCCATTATTGACAGAGAGGGAGGCCGTGGCAGCATAGGCAGAGTTGCTTGCCGAAGTCCCATGATGACTGGTTTTTATTCTGTTGTCCATGTTAATTCACTGGAGACCTAGTGTAGGAGAAAAACAAAACCATTTTTGCAAATAACACCCCAACCGTTGAAGTTGAAGGAAATCCTGTCTTTACCAGTCTCAAAGTTCCTTCTCATCACCTATGGCACCATCCTCTGCTTTATGGCACATTTAAAATATTTTTCATTCCGCCTTCAACCATAGCAGTTAGGGTGATCTCAAGAGACGTTAGTGTCACTGTCTTAAGAGCCAATTGAAGCTTCACAGATGATAGTTGGGTGGTAGCATCTGGTCGTAAAACGGCGTCTATGGCGATCGGTCATATATTCACCAGCAGAATGGCATACATACAGGGTAGGCCAAATGTAACTTTGTTGAATTGGTAGAAACATCTTTATTTCTCATATCTAATACTAGCAAGAAAATACATTTCTATGCTCTGTATTCGACAGTCCATTTCCAACTGAGATTGGTCGGAGCGTATAAAAGTGTAACGCTTGAATTTTAACTAACGTTAGATCTAGCCTAGGTTGCTGAGCTCACGAGGTCCTAACTTCATGCTAGAATAGGCAGGCGAAAAAGGCGAAAACACGTGTTAGGCCTTGCTAGGGTTACCATATTTCGAGCAGCCAAAAAAGAGGACACTTAGAAGTCGGACGGAAATTTGAAGGTGAAAAAGGCGGACATGCTAGAATAGGCAGGCGAAAAAGGCGAAAACACGTGTTAGGCCTTGCTAGGGTTACCATATTTCGAGCAGCCAAAAAAGAGGACACTTAGAAGTCGGACGGAAATTTGAAGGTGAAAAAGGCGGGAAGTCCAGGGAAAACATCCGGACGTATATCAACCCATAGGGACGCCTTCCTCTCGGACGGTAAAGAGGACATGTCCTGGAAAAACCAAACTATGGTAACCCTAGGCCTTGCTAAAATCGTATAAAACAGGCGTGCACGCACAGTTGCTAGCATACACCCTAAATCCTATAATGGCGGAAGACATGGAGAGTCCACCCCTGCCTCACGCATGCCAACGGCATAGTTAGTTTTCTCGCTGGAGAGGGGTGGGGATAAAAGGAATGAAGGGAAGGCAAGAATTTCCCCTAACTTTTAAATAAGGCGGTCAATGCAATTAAAACAAAGCTGAGAGGGCCACAACCAGACTTGAGAATGTGCCCTCCCCCTCCCCCTCTTTCAGCTTCTCTCTTGCTACAGTTGCTAGCATACACCCTAAATCCTATAATGGCGGAAGACATGGAGAGTCCACCCCTGCCTCACGCATGCCAACGCGTAGTTTGTTTGCTCGCCGGAGAGGGGTGGGGATAAAAGGAATGAAGGGAAGGCAAGAATTTCCCCTAACTTTTAAGTAAGGCGGTCAATGCAATTAAAACAAAGCTGAGATGGCCACAACCAGACTTGAGAATGTGCCCTCCCACTCCACCTCTTTCAGCTTCTCTCTTGCTACGCCACTGGGTGCGACGAGCTCACGTATATACTCTAAGCCAGTGGTATTTAAAGTGCGGCCCATTTAGTGGTTTTATGCGGCCCACTATGACAGACTACTAATAACTGACTATTTCACACTTAACCGTTTTATCGGCACTGATGAATAATAGAGATTAACAATTTTTTCGTTTCCGGATTTTGAATCCTTCGCTGAAAACTGACAAATTTAGTCGTTGCTTAGATGCTTAGGACCCCTCCCCCTCTTTCAGCTTCTCTCTTGCTACGCCACTGGGTGCGACGAGCTCATGTATATACTCTAAGCCAGTGGTATTCAAAGTGCGGTCCATTTAGTGGTTTTATGCGGCCCACTATGACTTACTAATAAATGACTATTTCACACTTAACCGTTTTATCGGCACTGATGAATAATAGAGAATAATAATAATAATAGAGAATAGAAAATTCGCACGCAAGATACCATTCTCGGAATTCCGCGTTTCCGTCCGGCATTATCTTCCATGATTTTTCAAGCTGTAATTCGTCTCACCAATAAGTGGGACTGAAAAAGAATTTCGAAGGGAAAGTCGCCCTTTCTGCCGTGGGGGATTCTGCTGGCAGCACAAATCACTCCGAATTTTAACGGTCTGAAGGCAATCACGCTGGAGACCTTGGGTATTCCTAGGAACTGATGAAAAAAAGAAGAAGCTTTCACAGACTCGATTTTGACCCTTTCGCTCTCGGAAGCCTGAGGGTCGATTAAACATTTATTTCATCTGATTCGTGAGGAATCTCTTCGAAATACTTTCTTTAATTACCCTCACGCCTTCATGAAAAAAAGGAATGTCGGACTTTGCAAGATTGCGGCACAGCCTGCACAAATAGCAGAATTATTTATTTATTCATCATTTATTTATCAGGGTCCATTCGACCAAGAACGGAAGTTAGAGATTAAAAAATGAAGATAAATCAGGCGGAAACCGCGAAACGATGCATCCCGCAGCCCGCATGCCGCATTTCACTGTCGACAGGCAGGAACGGGTGGAAGACGGCAAGGTCGGGTCCGTTCTTGCGCGAGCGATTGGTGTTTTCGCAGGAATGCGGCGTGACTCGTGAGGGAGACGGTGGCCGATGTGTCCGAGGCACGAGGGTGGATGATTCTAGATCGACCTGCGAATGCGATGGCCCAGTTGGTTCGGTCTCGAGCACGTGCACTTGACAGGAAGTAAGGCCTGGGCCGTGCAAATGTCAAACCGTGGGCAGAGCTGGCACTCTGATTAGATTATGGTTATCTTTCTCCACTTTAGTCGGTTGGCCGGGTTGTTAGGTTAGTTTCAATCATGTTACATGTTGTGGTTGCCCAAGGTTCCACAGCATAAGTTTTTGTGTAGGCCTAGGCCTGAAAGTGGGAAATAATGACCCACACAAGTCTCATGAGATTCCATAATTTAGACTTTATGATTAAAGCACACACCCAATCAAAGCGATATCAAAAGGAAGTTTCAGTGACTCAACCAGTTGATCTTCCAATCGGCATTCCACCCCACTACTTAGTCGTCTGTTCCTTCGTACTCTCGATGTGAGGGCTTGGCAATTTTCATCGCATCATGCCCTTCCATGTTCTGTTGCTATTTTTTACCAACCACATCAAAGAAATAGTGACATCTTCAAATATTCCTGTTCTGATTTTACTTTGAAGTCTACAAAATGGACTGTAAAATTGAACAACTTGAGTGAACCCCAAGATAGGGCCAAAATATCTGGAGATGTTTTCTGGGAAAATAATTACTTATGGGTCCTTCCTAGCCAACCTAGGAATTATTCAGTCCCTTACCATGGCCTGGAGTCTCCTATGAAGGACTATATTGACCCTTTTCCCTCCTATATTTTGAAGAGCCTTGGGTAGCTGAAGTTGCCTTTGGCAGTGAAAGGATTAAAAGCTTCAGTTTTAGGCCAACTTCAGGTTTATTAGATGTTCATATAGAACCACATTTTCTCACATCTGCACACAATTCATATAGCTTGTGTGACTTTCAATCAGAATTGATTAGTTTTTTTTTTAAACCTGTTTAGTTCCTGGGCATGAAAGTTACCTTTTTTACCATTTGGCACAAAGTGAGGCATGAGTTATGCATTAATGAAACAGTTCAAATTGAAAGCTATTTGAGACTCATTTGAAACCTGACACAATTCTTGTTTTTAAATGTGAACTCATAATTCTGTATTTTGTTACCTGATGCCATAATGCTCCTGTATTCTCATTCATTCTACTTGCATCTCTTCCTTCTGAAAGTTCAGTGCTGTGCTGACACTCCTTGTCCTTTTTTTTTCACATTGCTGCTCATTCCCAAGCCACTTCATATGCCACAGCACCCTTACCAGCTGTTTTGTTTGAGTGTATTCATGGCTTGGTCAGTCCAAAAGACATGTCAAGTTTTGAGTCATCTAAGTAATGCCTAAGATTGGCCTAATGAGAAAAGGCACCAAGAGTGGAAAGACCTTTGAAATAAATTGTAATTGTGTCACAACAACTGAAAGTATTTGTATTGAATCTGAGAAACATTGCATTTTTAGCTTCCTCGCCTAATTTCATCATGGTTTTTTCATGATTTAAAAAGAAATTAGAAATATATATTACTTGGATTTTTATTAACAGCTTTGATGTCAATGAGGATGTAGTCATGATTTTATTAAATTGGTTGATGGTTTTATAATATGTTTCTATTTTAATTTTAGCCAGTGTCCTTGCTGGAAGTCAATGCTATGTTATGAATATAACTCAAGCTTTCCATCAGTAGGCTTCATGGTCGATGAATAGGCCTTTTTTCTTAGGACTACCATAGGTAAAGGAAGGTGATGTTCTGAATAAGCTACATTCCTTGATCTGCTTTACACAGGTTGGGTTTTGCTCTTGTGATCACCCAAATTGGGAAAGTGCGCACCATGAATCCCCAGTATGATGTCATTGGGAAAGCATTCGTGCAACAATATTATGCCATGTTTGACGACCCAGTCCAGAGGCCGAACCTCCTGTCCCTATACAACGCCGAAGGATCCCTCCTGACATTCGAAGGAGCCCAGCACATGGGATCTGCGAAGATCATGGAGAAGTTTAGCGCACTGACCTTCCAGAAGATCCAACACCACGTGACGACGGTTGATTGCCAGCCCATGTGGGATGGCGGGATTCTGATCAATGTCCTCGGGCAGCTGAAGACGGATGACGACCCCCCTCACAGCTTTTCGCATACGTTCATCCTGAAGCCAAGCGAAACCTCCTTCTTCGTTCAGCATGAGATGTTCAGGCTCAACCTACATTCATAAGCTAGCCTTGGTGGTCATTCTTATCAACTGCATCTGAGATATATTTTCGGCAGGTGATATGGCCTTCTGTGCTCAGCCCCCAGTATGCTTTGTTCTCGTTCTTTGATTTCCTCTCTACCCCACGGCTTGTCGCGATGTAGGAACCGATCTTAATCCAGCAGATTCTCCGCTTGTCTGTCGTGTCCATTTTCGGAGTTTCCCCTCTTCTTTTGTATGGAAAAAGTGGTTGCAAGTCAATAAATCGGCCTGCATTCTCAGTTCTCTGCGTGAAGTGCAGGGTTCTTCCTATAGCTTTGTTGTAAAATTTGTGCTTCACAGAGTACATTGTGCTTTATGAACATGAAAGTAAATTTCCATTCGTGAGATTTTTCTTTCCAATTCTTACGCTTGTATATTGTCATGGAACTGTAGTCAGGAAAATACTCCAGTTTCCATGAGACAACTACCAGGAAAACAGGATCAAACAGTAACACGGTGGATATTTCCATAGCTGTACACTTAAGGTTGTCAATTAAAATATGTTTTGTACCCATGCCTTTGACTTCACCATTTGTTCTAAGGGTAAATGTGCTGGCAGTTATGAGTATAACTGCGTATGTGGTATGTTCTTACCTGTACTCTTGGCATATCCTGCAGATGACAACTGTAAAACAATCTTGCAGCTCTGTAATTTCTGTGGAAATTACCCCCTCCTTGCTTCAAAAATTTGGCAGAGCAGAAGAAAAGAATACAAGAAAGGCACTGCTTGGGATTCCCATCACGCGGTCCTAATTCACGGACAACACCTCTCGCAAAGACGAGTCTCTGCACTTTAAGGTAAAAGAGTGCTGCATTATTTAATCTATTAGGTTTTGTGGTTGAAAGTTTTTGCATTCTTAGTGTGCTTTTTTTGCAATCATTGCATTTGTGCATCCGCTTCTCACCAATCAGATCTCCACGACAGGGATTCATTTGCGCTTCAGGACTCCATTTGGAATTTCGTTTGAAATTGCCATTGCAACGATTTCAGTCCACCCAAAAGTTCAATCGTCAAGGTTGTACTTGTCGATCATCACCCTGCTTCTCCATTGCATTGAATATCGTACTGCTTGGGTTATGTTAAGTCGGCAAATACACATGGATTGCTGGGTATTTACTTTTGGGGAACCCTTCAAGATTCCCTTGTGCTTCACTCAGAAAGTAACCCCCTTAATTATTAGGGGACCCCCTACTGCAAGAAATCTAGCGCAATCCCTGATTTCAGTACTTCCCTTACTTGCTCAGTACTTAAGAAGGTACGAGCAGATCCCCTCTACAATATCTGAATCCATAATGTGTCCATAATGAATCCACCTTTCCCTTTAAAAAAAAGCGATGCAGGCAACGTTCGCATAACAGATCCCAAGTCAGTCTGGCCTTTCATGGCCTATGACCCTTTCTCATTCCTCTTCTTGAATTGAATTGAAACAGGACGGCCGTGTGGAGCTCTGCTTCGAATGGGGCTCAGGATTTCAGAGGATTTGCAAAAATTTTTTTTTAGAATGGCATACGGTTGCGACGGATTCCGGCACATGCCATCATTTAAAGACTTCTAGTATTGTATGCGTCATCGCGGGTACTTGAAATACCCTTCATTCATTCATTCCATTTCTTCGAAATGCGGCTGGCGTCGTTCAAGGTTCGAGATGCCAAGAGCCCTCTCTCCCTCGCATGCAGCCTTATGAACTCGTCCGTCAGCTTAATTCATTGTGGCTATGGTGCTTCTCCTTGTTTCGTCCATGAAATTATGGGTCCTCGTCCTACTGTCAAATTTGAATAACTTACATTATGGCATCATTAATTATTTTATATTTATTATGTTGAATGCTTGGATGTGCTCCATGACATTCATTCCCGAATCTGTCCATCATCCTCGCCTCAGAATCCTCTTCAGGGCGCTTACATCCCTTCCCTTCTCATGCATCCAAAATGTAAATAATCCAAAAAGGCGGCTCACCGACGGCAATAAATTACCGAATTCAGCCTAGACAATCTCAGAGAATTTCAATCGCGAAACAAGTACCCTCGAGTACTACTCAAACAACACACCTTCAGAGCAAGGACTTTTCCGTCCTTTTGAATATTTAGTACTTTTTAGTCCTTGAAACTCGACAAGGTAAATTCAACTTGCAAGACTGAGGGTATCGAAATCGCTCAAGTAGTTTCAGATTTGGCTCGATCTGGAAGGTACTTTTTACTGCTTCCAGTACTTTAGTATTACTTTGGAACCCAAGAGTCAGGATCTCGCATCAAGAGGAGTACGCTGTATATTCTGTATATTCATTTTAAGTACTGATATGAAAAATTTGGTGGATCTGGAATTCGGTGCATCGATGCAGAAATTTTTGAGGATATAATGATTTTTTTTTTTTTTGGGGGGGGGGGGGGGGGGGAAGGGCTTTTCCCCAAAATTAAAGGT